CTGAACCGGCCCAAACTGGGAGCAATCCACCACTGGTCTGACCCAATTGTTTTGTACAGAGTAAATTTAACATCACTTCTCCACCCAAAAGCAATATCTAAGAAAGTTAATGATCTCTTCTGCAACATTTCATTGTGCTGTTTCACAGGGTTTTTTTCTCTAGACTAGCATAACATTAGAAATAATATCAAAGCATAACATGAATATGGAGGAAAAAAATTTGAGGTTCAGTCATGGAATTATACATTGGAAGGGACCCTGGAGATGAATTAATCCAACCTTTTCTCCAGTTTCAGAATTTACTACTACAGCAACTATATGCATATGAAGGCCATGAGCATTTTATTGATGAGATTAAATTGAAGACTGAGATGCTGAACTAGTACAAATCTTCATTTGACTACAATGTTTACAGAATCAATTTGAGCCCAATTTTTCTCAGATCAGTTTCCATCACAGTGTTTTTATGGGACAAAATGAGGAGGAAAAACCCCATGTAAGTGAGCTAGAGTGGTCTGAGAAAAAGCAGGTCATACATGCAACAACCATTGAATTCTGAAGAAGAGTTCGCCCATGAAGACGTGGGGGAAATCATGCAATGTTGAAAGTGTTGTCCACCTGTGGATTCCAATGAAGACTCTTAATCTTACATCTGATTTAGAAGCTGAATTCTTCCTCGGATGAGGAAGTGAATAAGTTTAATTTATAGCCACAAGAATGCTAAACAATTTAAAAAAAAAACAGCCCAATATTCTAAAGAAATAAGCCCAGCCAAACACAAATCCTAATTTATAGCATTCACTAATTTTTCAAGATAAACCATACCACTAAATGAGGAATTAAATCTTTAGTTTCTGGACCCTTAAGCTATATGGTTTACCTGGTGGATCATAGCTTTAGGACCTTAACTGAAGAGACTTTAACTGAAGAGGCCTCTTTGTGTGAATCTGACTTGCAGATTTAGGCTTATTAAAATGAGGAAGAACTGTAGATAAACTAGTAGTAAAGAACATGAGACAGATAATCAGGATTGGAAAGGGAGTAGTGAAAGCACAGCTTACATTCAGATTTTCTACAAGTGCTGTAGAAGGAGGGATCAATCAGTAACTAGGTATACCTTATGACATATGTGTTTACAGCCAAAACTTCCTTAAAACTCTATGAAGGCAGAATAATGTTATGACTTAGATTGAATCACACAGCATTTCTAATTAACCAGAATCTTAGTTAAAGTTAAAGTTAGTTAAAGAATCTTAGTTAAAGGAGCCTGAGTGGCGTAGAGGCTAATGCCTCCTTAGGCAGCATTTAACATCCAACTGCCTGCAATTACTACGAGTTCAATTCTCCCCAGGCTCAAGGTCGACTCAGCCTTCCATCCTTTCTAAGGTGGGTAAATTGAGGACCCAGTTTGTGGGGGCAATAATCTGACTTTGTATAAATATACAAAAGTATGAAGGCTATTGCTTAATGCATTGTAAGCCACCCTGAGTCTCCGGAGAAGGCAGCATATAAATCAAATTAAAAAAAAAAAAAAGACACATTATAAATTAGTATCAGACATTTCTAAGAGACAGCGGCAACCATAAGTAAACACAGAAGGATTTACATAACCGAATTGCTTGTATCTTTTAGCTTACCACGAAGTAAAATTGTCAGTCACTTAGGTGACATGTATGGTATAGAAATTTAATAATAAATAAAATTAAATTCTTGGACTGCAGAGGATAAAGAAATTCTAGGATGGTTGACTAAATTGGGAAATTGAGAAAAACTGTGCCAAAGAAATGGGAAAAGAACTTTTATATCAATTCTAGAAAAGAATAGATATCCATGGAGCCATTGATTATGACTTTATTATGAATCCAGTTTGACCTGAGCTAACTTTCAAGTCAACCTGCAGACTAAATTGGGAACTTGAAAAAAAGCATTCCAGAGCAAAGAAATGGCAAAGCATTTTCATATCAATACTAGAAAAGAATATTTATAGTAGTGGCCAAAATTGTGGAAACCTTTTGGGAAAAGTGTATTTTCTAAAACTAGCTAATAACACTTTTTTTTTGGGAGTAGTACCATAAAATTATATAACAATGGAAAGACAATTTAATCAAGAATGTAATGCAATAACTTTTATGAAGGATTTGCTATTAGAATAACAGTTACGGTATAAAGAAGAAAAGTGAAACATGTAGAAAAAATGAGGTATACAAAAATTATCACCAGAGAAAAAATGAGGTATACAAAAATTATCATGTCAGTTAATACTTAGTTGGGTAACCTTTAGCATGAATTACAGCCTTACAACATCTTCCGATGGAGTGAACTAAGTCTTTTAGTTCTGCAGCTGTTATAATGTGAAACCAAGATTGAATAATTGCTTCTATTAACTGGGTTTTATAGCTGGGTCGCTTTTGACTAACAAGTTTCTTTCGTCGGCTCCATAGATTTTGAATTGGGTTAAGGCCATTACAAGGCAATTCCAGCAGTGGAATATTATTATCTTGAAACTCCGAAAAAAGTGGTGTTATTAGCAATCAAACCTCAAAAATACACTTTTCCCAAAAGGTTTCCACAATTTTGGCCACTACTGTATACATGGAGTAATTAGGAATGCAGTTTGACTTGAAGGTAACTTTCCTCTTACTAAAATAAACTGTCTTGCTGGTCCACCTCCGCCAAAGTGTATTGCTGCACATTGCCACAAACTAATTTTCTCGACACCCCAAAACATTTCAAAACACAAGATTCGACCGGAAGCATCATGGCGGGACAGTCAGGGATTAGCTGGCTCTGATGAGCTCCTCGAAATCCAGGGCTGACAAACCACTGCAGAGGAGTCTTCGGACCAGATCTGTCCTGTAGGGACAGAGAAGAAAGAGAGGCACCTTGGAAGACCAAGAGAAACAGGTAAGTTCCTTGGAGGTCAGAGGAAATTCTCTCTGACTCTGCAGCGGGGGGCAGCAGCCATTATGACCGCCAGTAAGCTGGGGCAACCCAGTGATGTGCAGGAGCAGAGAATTGAACGAAATATTGCTGCCGGGTGAGTGATATTTAACTCATAGGCAGAAAGGAGAAAAAAAAAGGAAGGATTTTTAAAACAATTGCAAATGTCCTGGTGTCATAATAGCAGCTGATAGGCATGGGAAAGGACAGAAGAAGAAGAGTAAGGCGGAAGTTACAAAGTAACAGAACCCAACTTGAAATTTGATTGTTTTGAATTTAAAATATTTGGAGAACTTTAAAAAAAACAACAACCCAAGAACCCAAAAAGATTCTTTTTCAATTTGGAAACTTTAAAGGGAGATTAAAAAAAACAACAACGAAGAAAAGCCTGTAATAGAAAGGACTGATTAATGACTCTAAATTGGAACCTAATGAATGTAACGTGGAATTTGGACTATATAAATCTGGACTGAATTTTAAATTGACTTGGTGTAAGTAAAAACTGTTAAAACGGATTGCAACCAAAATGGATGCCTTTTAAGTTTGTCAATTGTAAACGTGGATTGTAGAGAGCCATCTTCAGGAGGGAAAAAAATCATTATAGCACTGAACTTTTTAGAAAGAACAAAATGGCACAGGAACTGAAGGAAATGATAATAACGATGTACCTATCATTGAAAATGGAAATAAGGGAAATGACTACAATGTTGCATGGAAAATTGAAACTTGATGACCAAAAAATTGATTTAGGATACATTCAAGCTGACAAAGAAACAACGAGAAGCAAGGAAAACAGACTGAAAATAAAGAAGAAGAAGAAAAAAAGGAGATTGATTATGGAAAATTAAATGATTATTACATTGGGTTTAACAATGGAAAAAATGGAAAAAGGGGAAAGAAAAATAAAATAAAAGAGAATGGAATAGAAAGAATATAAAAAACTTAAATGATTACACTGGGGTTCTCAGTGAGAAAATAAGAAAAAGGGGAAAGGAATGGAAAATAATGGGAAAGATACAGCAAAATAGAAGAGTTTATGATCTTAAAAAACAAAACATTGGGATTAGGGAAAAGAGAGATCAGGATTTTAAAATACAAAAAGAAGAAGGGGTAAGAAAAAGAAAGTAAAATATAAAGATAGAAAAGGAGAAAGAAATGGAAGGAGAATATGGGGTAAAGAAAATGAATACTAGGGAAAAGATGAAATTGTATTTTTAATGAAGTGATTTTAAAACTATATGGGTGTATGAATAATTGGAATGTTTTTAATTAATGAAGGGGATTGTAATAAATGAAATATCCTTAATTATATATTGGATTATGAATTAATTACATATATTTAACTGGTCTTTATAAAAATGATATAAAATGTTATAAAAATGTTGAAGCCTATTAGTTGGAAAAGTTGACAAAGAAAAAATTATTTGAGATTGGAACTAAAGAATTTAAGAAAATAATTGGGAATGGTATTAGGTTATAAATTTAAGAAAATAATTGGGAATTGTATTATGCTTTATGAATGTAAATGTAGAGGTATTGGAGTAAGATTGATACTTAATTGATTTTTTTATTGAATATGTTTAATTGTTGAAATCTATCATTTGGAATAGTTGATAAAAGAATCATTGGTGATTGGAATAAGAGAATTTAAGGTAATAATTGGGGATGGTATTATGTTATATGAATTTAAATTTAGGGGTTCAAATTTTAAGGAGGGGAAAGAAAAAATGAACTATATTAGGATGAGAAGTTAAGATGATATTGGTTTCTTAGAATTAGAGAGAATAAATGGTATGAGAAAATTTATATATAAAATTGTGTTAAAATTGTGTTAAAGATTAACAAAAATCTGTACAAATCTAAAACCGGGCCAATATTCTGTTCAGAAAAGATGCATTGTATGTTTGTTTGTGTGTTTAAAAAATAAAAAAAACTTTATTAAAAAGAACATTTCAAAACACAAGAATATTGAAGATTAATTCATGCATATTTGGAAGAGATTAAGGCAAAAATCTTCTAATCTCAGCAGATGTTTTATTAGATGTTCCACCTAATCCCAGGAAGTTTCGGAGAGTACATAACCTCCGCCAGTACATCTCAGAACATCACACACAAAGAACAGAGCAAGCCTACAACACAAAGAAAAAGGTAAGTTAGAAGGTTTTGCTTTTGATGCTTTTTATCTGGCAAACAGACTTACTGATATGAAGAGCAGCATAAATATCAGCTTGTGAATTTTGTTACTTTGCTTTGAGACAATTTGAGTTCAGTGGGGTATATAAAAGCAGCAATACATGGTCAACTATATCACTGAAGACAATTTACTCATAGCTACTTTGCACCCCAGTTCTTTATATTGCACTGCTTCTTCTAATACAATGGTCAACTCTTATAACAAAACACATTATTCTTCTTAATGTGATCAAATAGTCAGCCATACTTTTAGAAGAACAGAGTCTTTCATTTCTTTCATTTCTTGTCTTTTGTTTCCTTGCCTTTTCTGTGCTGTTACAGAGCAAGTCAAAATCAAATTCATTTTCTATTAAAGCAAACATTTAATGAATGGGGAGGATATATTCCTTCAAATTAACATAAGAGAATTAGTCACTGAACCTTCCATGGTCTTCTCTGTTTGTCTCTTGGAAATTCCAGGGTATTTTTTTTTTTTTTTATGAAGCAAGAAGGTCCATAGCCTGAAGGTAGCCACTGAAAGGATTCTACCCAAAGGCTTTGAAAAGTGTAATGTCACTTTTCACACGTAATGTAAATCCACAATTGTTCAAGACCATTAACATCTCTAGTGTCTCTGTCTCTTAAATATTAATCGGAAGATTCAGTTTGGACTCTGATACAGAAGGACCAATGTTTAGATTTTCTTTTAAAATAATTAGGATGATGATTTCAAGAGAATGCTGAATGAATAACATTGATATTCATTTGAAATAAATTCATGATTACATCGCTTTCTTAAATACAATTCTATAGCATTTGCAGGTATAATTAGAGCCATGAGATCTGGGAAGCAAAATTCCAGATGTCTATTTCACAGTTGAAGAGACTGCCACTTGTCATCTGCAGCTTTGTAACTTAGATCTGGTAATGGTAAAGGTAGTAGATTTTACAAATAGAATGGAGATCACCAACACTTTAGTTTCAGTGTTTTTTTAATGCTAGGCTCTTGTTGTTTTTTAATGGTATTCTTTCATTCTTACATGTTGAATTTTAAAGGATTGTTACTTTATTTCTAGACACATAATGGGAAATTTGCAGGTATAGTTTTGAAATATATTGCCTACCAGATTTGAATTAAATACATTGAGTACTTTTGTTTGTTTGTTTGTTTGTTTGTTTAAGAATAACCTTTATTTTAGGATTTCCGGTTGGCAATTTGCAGCGTGGCGGGGGAAGGAGAATGGCCTCTGTTTTTCAAACTCGGATTTTTTGCGTTTTGGGGACCTTTCGGGATGTAAAATGCCTGGAGGGCATTGCGGACTAGAGAGGGAGTCCAGAGTGCGGCAAAGTGAAGGGCGATCACTCACGGCATGAACGGACATCTCTGTTGATCCAACGCAAATGTGTCTGACAGCTTGTAATGGCAGACTCGAGGCTGTGATGAGCCGATAAGTACAGGGAAGAGAAAATTTTCGAAGCAGGCGGTGTCATCGTAAGTGTGTATTTGGAACATTGCAGGATCAAAGATTGCTTTCAGAAATTGAGTTTGGTCTTTTCGAGTTAGAATAAGATTTCCAGTGAGAGAATAAGTGGCGATTTGGTGGAATCATTGGTGAATCAGCATAATAGACTTAACTGCTAAGATGGCAGTTAAAATGGCTGCGCCCTCCTCCGATCCCCACACAAAGCAAACTAACACATGCCATGAGCACATGACAAGACCTCAGACTCGGAGCCAAACCAAAGCCCGGGATGTTGCATCACAGCCATCTGCTCAAGACAATACATCACAGAACTCAGGATGTTACAACACAGCCAACTACCCAGGATGTTGCAGCACAAGACTCAGGATGTCACAACACTGGAGCTCAGGATGCTGCCACACGGCCCATTACCCAGGTCGTTATAACACAAAAGTCTAATGGGCACACAGCTAGGACCTTGCCCACACAGGATGTTATGAAACAGCCGACTAATCTGCAAACATCAACTCCATCAACTAATCAAGATGTAACAACACAGTCAACCAACCCGCTTACAACAACAAAGCCAGCACTCCACACCTCCCCACCAATATTTATAGAGAGACGGCATCTCCGATCACGCTTTGTTCGCACATGCATGAAGCCGAAGACACCAGCCTGAAGATGACAAGTGGGATCTCATTGAAACATTGCCAAGATACTCTCAATCTTACACAGGAAAAGACCCAAATACACCAAGACTTACAACTAATCCAACCTGTCTTTTGGGAAAATGACACTGTCGGTTCGATTATGTATTGGAATTTTGAAAAAGAAAACCATAAAAAAAAAGAATAACCTTTATTTTATAAAAATAGTTAATTTGTGTAAAACAAATTGTAATGAATATTACCTAGCTTTCTGTAGCTTTCAGATCATGACTCTATTCGGAAGGTTCACGAAGGTCCAACTTTGAATCAGATTAGTTCTGTTTCTTTTCAGAAGACCATTTTCCCCCCCTCAAGCACAGGAATTAACTAGCATTCAGAATATATGAAACCTTACATGTGTGACTAATTCATTTTTTACTATGAGAGTTTTAAAAAACAACTGCTTATTCTTACAGATTAATCCAACAAAATGAAGATTGTGATTGTTCTTGCTTGTCTTTTGGCCATCATCGTTCCTTTTGAGGTAAACATTAAGGATTGTGATTGCATGATAGAAATATATTGGATTCATTTAATGCTTGGGAAAAAAACCTGCAAAATTTGGAGGGTCAGGGGGTCATGTGGTGCTTATGGAATGAATTGGGCAGAGCAGTCATTTTCTCAAGATTCTTGTTTGAAGGTTCAGTGAGGGAAGTCAGCATTATTATTCCACACTGCAAAAGGAGGCTGGGATGGAGGAATCAGGGAGACAGAGAAAGGGAGAGAGAGGGAATGTTGAATCCATATAGCAAATTCATAACTTGCAGACACTTGAACTACTAGATCAGTGGTGGGTTTCAAATTTTTTTACTACCGGTTCTGTGTGTGTGGCTTGGTGTGTGTGGCATGGCTTGGTGTGTGTGGCATGGTGGGCATGGCATGGGAAGGATACTGTAAAATGTCCATTCCCATTCCAATCCAGGGGTAGGTTACTGCAAAATCCACATTTCCTCCCGATCAGCTGGGACTTGGAAGGCAGAGAATAGATGAGGGTGGGGCCTGTCAGAATTTTTACTACCGGTTCTCCGAACTACTCAAAATTTCCGCTACCAGTTCTCCAGAACTGGTCAGAACCTGCTGAAACCTACCTCTGTACTAGATTCTTCTTCTCATCAGCCTGGAGCAGTGTTTCTCAACTTGGCAACTGTAAAATGTGTGGCATGGCTGGCTGGGGAATTCTGGAACTTGAAGTCCACACATCTTACAGTTGCCAATGCTGAGAAACACTGGTACACTGCACAGGTTTCAAAGTATTTCTTGTTAAAAAAATATTCCGAAGGTGAATCGGGGGATGATATTCTTGAAGACTTGGAAGGTGACGGCCTGCTGGGAAGATCAACCTCTATGACCTCCCAACCCAACTGAAAATTGGGATCCAGATTTTATTTTTTTTTGTTGAACATTTTATTTAGGCCAGTATTATAGAAAAGTGATTTTATTTTATTTTTTTTAAATTACATGGCATTGTTAATTAATCAAAAGTTTTATTCTGTTCATGTGCTTTGCTTTGGTGTATCACCGAATGGGGCATTTTCTCGCAGCACCTCCTTTCTTGGTAAAAGCTTAATTTTGTTGGCATCCACACAAACACCTTGTAGGACATATGTTCTACGTATAACTTCCACATCTGAAGCTAACTTTATAAACTCAGCTATTTTTTTCAGGAGAAGTCTCATTTTTATTATTTTTGAATTCTTCATTTATCTTAAGTTTTGCAGCGTCTAAGCTTCTGGTGTCACCTTTGAACACATTTTGCCTTGTCCTATGTAAAACCTTGAAACCTTTCAAGATCTCTGCCCTTCACATCACTGGGACTGGGATCCAGATTTTTTTTATATGGTCTTTTGGATACTTGGCTGGTTGAAGGCAACTAAAATGCTTGTTTGGTTGCTCTTGTGATGGGCTGCAATCTTTGCTGATGGCTGGCTTCATTTGGCTAGGGGAATCAGTTCCATAAATAGTACTACTGATATTACCTTTTGATTTGATGAAAAACAATTATCACAAAAATGCTTTTTTAAAAAAAGTAATTATAATTAGAACATTAAATACCCTTTCATTACAACAGTAAAATATAATTGCAACATTACAGTATAATTACAACATTAAATACCTTTTTCAATCTCATGTATTCCTCATTCTTCTCCTTCTCTTCCAGGCCAGCAGTAGTGAAAGTGGAAGCAGTGAACAATGGCTATATCCATCTTATCCATCATATCCAAACCAAATGCCATTTTCAAATTTTGCCCCTATGTATCCTCCATCCTATGGTGGCATCTTATTTGAGGATTTAAAGAGGGCTCTAGCAGCTATCATACCACCTGCTAGCAAGACTAAATAAAACCTGTTATGTTGACTGGTAAGTCTTACAGAGATATTTCACCACAGAAAAGAATATACTGGGCTGTTCCTATTATCATTTCATGATAACATATCCTTTGTCTATTCCCACAAGCATTTGGCTAGCATAGGATGCAGTCAAGGAATTAGCAGTATGAATGGTTCTGGGACCTTGGTATGTGAGTTTGTGGGGAGGAGTGTTAGTGGTTGCTTTTATTGGTTGCTATGAGCCATCTAGAATCACTCTGTGACAAATAGATGCTTATATAAGTTCCCCCCTTTATCAACAGAATTAAACCTCAAAATCGGGCTGGGGAACTATGGCCTTTTTATGACCTATGGATTTCAACTCCCAGACTGCTGGCTCAGGAATTCTGGGAATTGAAGTCCACAGGTCATAAAGGGGCCATAGTTCCCTACCCTTATTTTAGATGAAGCCATCTTGCCCAAGAAGCACCAAAGAACTGTTTATAGAAGCCAGCTTGGTTCTTCTGTAGAAGTGGGGAGCTCAAAATGGCAGAACCTGTTCTTTTTTAAAACACACCCCCCCACACACACACTGTAATTCCCAGAACCCCCAGTAAAGACAAAGGCCTAACTTAGAATCAAAGAGCAGAACAGTTATTATGGAGCTGTGACAATTAACTAATAAAGTAGGAAGGCAACACTTAGTCTATTCATGAAGGGAGGATTTCTGGAATAATAATAAATAACAACAACAACAACAACAACAACAACAACAACAACAACAATTTTATAAGATACATCAACAAATTGCAGCTTCCTGCAATAACACCAGCGGAACTGCAAAAAACTGTGCTAATTGGAACATCATACATCTTAAGAAGGTACTTGGTTGATACCTAGGACGCTGGCAGCAACCTGTATCAACCATTAGCACCAGTCAATGGTATTTGTGATGCATTTTTGAATGTTCAGTTGACTGAGTTTCGTGTTTAATGAATAAAGTAAATAATGATGATAATATTTTTTTAACTGTTTGTTTTTACATTTCTGTTGTAGATCTTGCTGAAGTATTTTTTACAAGATACTCAGAAGACATCCTTTTGCTTCTGGCATAGCCTGACAAATGATTCTGCTTTACATCGACTTTTTAAAAGCTTTCATGCTTTTCTTTAAATAAATTTGACTGAATTACATTTTTCTTGAAGATATTTGTTTATATTTGTATGGTTGTGGTGTGGTTTGAACACATGGGAAACATTTTCCAAAGATTGGCCTTTGGAGCTGGGGGCATATTCTGCCTCATCAGTTTAAAGGACTGGAATAAAATGTGCAGGTTTAAAAATGAAAATAAAAGAAAAAGGAATTGAAGACATTCTTCTTCAGAAAGAAAGGCCAGTTATCAAATACTAAAAGCTTTTTTCAATTTTCAACCTCATTATTAACACATATAACTATAAATGAAGTGAAAATCATGTAACAAAACTTCCACCAATTGTAATCTCACACACACACACACACACACACACACACACACACACACACACACACGCTTTAGAGGCTGTACAAAGAGCACTATTAGGAAAACAAGTGAGATGAGCTATTATCAAAAAGAATTGTTTGGGCACTTGATTCAGTGCTTTTCAAAACACTTTTTTTTCTTTCAGATCCTAGTTGGTGGGATGCTGAAGTAAGATTGAGAAAATCAAGACCCCACTTGACCACAGAGTTTACAGTTTGGAATTTTGGCCAGATCAGTTTCCTTCAGTGTTGTAGTAGGACAAAATGAGGGGAAATCCCATGTAAGTGAGTTAGAGTTGTCTGAGGAAAAGCAGGTTATACATGCAACAAAAACTGAATACTGAAGCAGAGCTCATCTTATGAAAACAGGGGACCTCAGAGTCTGAGTAGAGCTTTTAAGATATTTGTTGTATGTGGATGGGGGGTGGGGGGAAGAATTCCAATTTACTTGAAGCTGATTGGACAGAAATTAACACCAGGTTTAAAGCTGCTTGACTGTAATGGGATATTTGAACACAAGAGGAAACTCAAGACTAGAATTTTGCTTGTACATTACACCTTAATAGGACAGTGATGGTGTTTGACCACACAAGGGAGCCAAAGACCATAATATTGCCTATAAACGCCTAAATTAAATGGATTTAACCTTATAATTCATATTTTTGTGACATTTTTGGAATTATCAACATGATGATGAGAAGAATCATTAGCCTAGCTAGGTGGTTCAGTGGCTAAGATGCTGAGCTTGTCGATCAGAAAGGTCGGCGGTTCAGTGGTTCAAATCCCTAGTATAGGTCTCCTGCTTGAGCTGGGGATTGGACTAGATGACCTCCAAGGTGCCTTCCAACTCTGTTACTGTAAGAAGAAACCAAGTCTAAATCTCTCTCTCACACACACACCCATGTACTCATTTTGTCCAGGACCTCAAACCATGTGGTCCTGTCCACCATTAAACCATCTTTCCAAATAGCCTCTATCAGTAATGGGTTTCAAATCCCGTCACTACAGATTCGCTCGTGGACGTGCGCACGCAATGCTTCTGCACATGCACATAGATATCTGGGCGGGTGGGCAGAGCCTCCCGCTGCCGCCGCTACCGGTTCGCCCAATTCAGGGTGAACTGGTAGCAACCCACCACTGGCCTCCATGCAAGAGAACAAGTCTCCTAGAGAGGCTCTGGAGGCTGGGGACAGCAAAAAAAAATCACTTCCTGTTCCACTGGGAGTTGGGAAATGGGCCGTTTCAGGCCTTTGGAGGGCCTCTGATGGAGTGGGAAAGGCTGTTTTCGCCCTTCCCAGATGCATAGAGAGGATCTGGAGCCAGGTGAGAAAGAAAAACGGGCCTACCGATCCATCATGTGCCAGGGGTGGGGGGGGACTGGGGCTTGCACACGCATGCACAGGGCAGGGCTCATAGAATTATGGGTGTGGGCACACGCGTGCGCAAACCTCCCCTGCTCCTCCTTCCTGGCACGCGATGGCAAAAAGGTTAGCCATCACTGACCTATGGTATGACAAGGTTAAAATAAATGTTGATTTTTGTTGGACATGCCATACTAAGGGTTTAGAACAAATATAAAATAAGGTTCTCTGTAAAGATACCTCTTTGGATGTCACCTCAGGAAGGATGTCTCTGTCTCTTATAACTGAAATAAGAGTTTAAATTAGTTTTAAAAAGCTACCGGTTTGACTTTGATAAAACTAGCAGAGATGGCTAAATTAACTGCTTTAATCAAAGAAAAGAACATATCCAACTTTGGAAACTGCTTTTGGATTTTGTGCTTGAGTTGGGGGAAAAATTGACTTTGGATTTTGCTGATTAGATATGTTGGTTATTATAGAAATGGCTATTGCATATTAAGCATGTAAGGCAGGGGTGGGTTCTAAATTTTTTTACTACCGGTTCTGTGGGCGTGGCTTATTTTGTGGGTGTGGCTTGTAGGAAGGTAATGTGATTGGGTGGGCATGGCCAACTTTTTTTTTTAACTTTTAAAAGCATTTTTTTCTACAACTTTAAGAGGTTGCAGAAAAAAATGCAAAAAAACATCCATAGATACACTCAGAAGACCTTCTTTCTCCCACCCTCTGCGTACCAAGCGCCATATTACAGCCGCCACCTCTGGGTCCCGGCAAAGCCTCTCCCGCCGCTTCCTCCTCCTCCTCCTCCTGCTGCTCGATGGGGAAGCTCCGCTGAGTGGAAAGCGAGCTACTCCAGCCTGCCCATCAGTTCCTTCTCCTTCCTCCCCTGAGTCCCTTCAGTTTACAGAAATGATATCTTGCTCAGAGATTTGGATCAATATGAATAACAGATGAGCAGTGGTGGATATAGCATGAAGCAGGAGAGAGAGCACCAGTTCTTTATTGGTTCTTGGTACAATGTCCCCATGACTGTCAGTCATTGTTTTAGCTGTGTTTGAAAATGGGTTTCTCACTCTTTTGGAAGAGCACTAAATATATATCCAAAAGAATCCAGAGGAATAGCTCTGGTTCTGTGCAAGTATTTTCTTCTGGTTGCATTCAAAGGGAACCCAACAATCAGCTGGTGTTAGACTTCTTTTAACATAAGCTTAGTAGTAGTGCAGGATAGATCCATTTGAGGATTGCATTAAGGCTTTCTCCAAAAGAGCCCAATTACAAACTGAATATATCACATAAAACATTGCTGCCAATCCAGCATGAATTCTGACAATGGGCTATGCCTGCCTATCTTTCCACCTGTCAAAATTATCCTTTCTAGCCCCATCTCTATCCCACAACAAGGAAAATGGATGGTGGATGTTTTCTTACACCTGATGACATTTGGCTAGAGATTAAAAATGAAAAATTGTGGGAAATTACTAATCTCTTTCCTTAATGTGCCCTGCATTCCACACAGAATGACATTGAGTCATTGAGTCAATGCAGTAGCTGGCATTGAGCCTATGCAGGATAAGGATTCCCAGTGGAGACCACACATTTTTATGACTGTGTAGTTTTCTGTTATTTCAAGAACTTTAACTTGGCTATGAAGTTATGAGGAAGAACCCTTGGATTGAGAAACACTGAATTATTCCTGTGATCAAATAATAAATCTGTTAATCAGTTGGCTCAGTTCTTCTCCCTTACACCCAAAATACTCACCATCCAGGTATTTCATAAAGAAAAATATGCCTCTTTTTTATATCCTTTCTTTCTGCACTATTACCAAGCAGCACATCACTTGTAAATCTTTCCTGGTTCCACCTGCTTCATTTTGTAGGAATTCTTCTTTGCCTCAGGGAGCCACAGATGTAAACAAACTTACATTCTCTTAATATTAAGGGTTTGGCAAAATCTAATCCTAAACCCTAAAACCGCAAGTGCAGAAAATGTCTTGTTTTGTTAGTTTTATCATCTTAATTCAAGAAGGCCACATTCTCTTAGCAAATAGAAAAAGGAATATCTAAGAAAGGTGACGATCTATAATAGTTCACTGCACTGTTGCTCAAAGCAGTCTTTTATCTAGAAGAAAGTAACATTAGAGATAATATCAAAGTACAATATGGAGAAAAAAAAATTGAGATTCAGTCAAACAATTATAGGTTGGAAAGAATCCTGGAGATCAACTAATCCAGCCCTTTGCTCAATTCAAGAATTTACTACAACAGCATCTACAGGTAGTCCTTAAATATTGAGATGCTGGACTAGGACTCAAGAGACTCAAATCTCCACTTGACATTAATCTCCAGCTTCCAGCATTAATTTGAACCAGTCTTGAATATAGCTTGGAATTTGGGCCAGTTACTCTCAGTTCAGTTTCCTTCACAGTGTTGTTGTGGGACAAAATGAAGAGAAAACCCCATGAAAGTTAGCTAGAGTTGTCTGAGGAAAAGCAGGTCATACATGTGGCAAAAATTGAATTCTGAAGTGGGGCTCACCTTATGAAAGCATGGGGGAATTAAAAATATTGGCCAATGGTGGATTCCATTGAAGATGCTGAAACTTAGATGGTGATCTATCTGACTCAGAGGCCGGATTTTTCCTAGGACAAGGCAAGTGAATAGGGAGGTACAAACATCCAGAAAAACAGTCCGATATTCTAAAGCAGGGGTGTCAAACTCAAGGCCCAGGGCCTGGATCTGGCCCACGGGGTGCTTAGATCTGGCCCATGGGGCTGCCCTGGAAACTGCGAAGGGTTGGCCTGCAGTGCCTCTGCCAGTGAAAATGGATCTTGGGCAGGCCACACATGCCTCCCCCGAGCTCCATTTTCACTGGCAGAGGGTTGCAGGAGGCCACCACAGTCAAAAAAGGACCTCGGGAGCCTGTTTTCTCCAGCAGATCACTCAGGCCACCACAGGCGCCTCTAATACGAGTGACATTGAGCTGACCATGCCCACTCCAGCCATGCCCACCCCGGCCTACCAATGTCAAATACAACCCTGATGTGGCCCTCAATGAAATCGAGTTTGACACCCCTGTTCTAAAGAAATAAGCCAAGCCAGGGACAAGCCCTAATATTGTATATAGCATTCACTCGTTTTTAAAGATATGCCCATACCACTTGGTCAATTTAATGAGCAATTAAACCTTCAGTACCTGGACCCTCAAGATTTCTGACTTTACTTGATGAGTCACAGCTCCAGGACCTTAACTGAATAGGCGGGAGATGCATGTTCATGCGTGAGGGGCAGGGGGACTGCGGGGATTACGCCCGCATGTGCAGGGGGCGGGGCACACAGGAGTCACACACGCATTGCATTATGGCTGCGAGCACTCACACTTTCGGCACACAATGACTAAAAGGTTAGCCATCACTGTCCTAAGATTTAACGCCAAGTTGCCAACTGTAACGGAACAGGATTGATTTCTACAATCAAATTGTTTATACCTTTTGGCTCCCCATAAAGTAAAACTGTGAGTCTCTTAGCTGAGATGTGTGGTGTAGAATTCTAATAATTAATAAAAATTCTGGTAGTCTAGAAAGAAATCCTAGGATTGTGTACTAAATTGGGAAAATGAGAAAAAAGCATTCCAGAACAAAGAAATGGAAAATCACTTCCATGTCAATAGCAGAAAATAATATGTATTTATGGAGTCATTCATTATGAATCCACTTTGACTTGAAGGTAATTTTCCATTTACTAAAAGAAACTCTTCAGGTCTCCTGCTGGATCACAACTATCAATTCTTGAGAACAAATTTCTAAAGTAACTTGCTCAACTTTACCACAAAACAATCTTCTGGAAAACCCAAAATATTTCAAAATGGGATCTTTGAAGATTATTACATGCATTAAGGCAGAACTCTTCTAATCCCAGAAGCTGTGTTGATAGACAATCTACCTAATCCCAGGAAATTTTGGAGAGTATAAAACCACTGCCACTACATCTCGGAACATCATTCAGAGAGAGCAGAGCAAAAGCACCGCTGCCAAGAAAAAGGTAAGTCAAAATATTTTCGTTTTGACGCTTCCTCGGCAGTTATTTGGCAAGCAGAATTACTGACATGAAGAGCTGCATAAATATCAGACAGTGAATTTTGATGGCTTTGAGATATTTTGAAATTAGTGGGTGATACAGAAATAGCAACACATCCTTAACTATATCACTGAAATCAGTTTACTTACAGCTACTTTGCACCCCAGGTCTTTATACTGAACTGCTTCTTTTAATATTATGGTCAACTGTTATCCAAAATAGAGAAACCTCAAAATACAGCATAGAGGTGCTCTGTTTATTTTTAAGCAAGTCTTAACAGAATACAGAAGGGATCTTGGAGGTCTTCTAATTCAACCCCTTCTCAAGCAGGAAACCCTATACCATTTCAGATAAATGTTGTCCAATCTCTTCCTAAAATCATCCAGTGAAGGAATACCCACAATTTCTGGAGGCAAGTCATTCCAGCGATTAATTATTCTGACAGTCAGGAAATTTCTCCTTAGTTCTAGATTGGCTCTGTCCTTTATTAGATTCCATCCATTGCTTCTTCTCATGTTTTCAGGTGCTTTGGAAAATAAGTTGATCCCCCTCTTATATGTGGCAGACCTTAGATACTGGAATACCACTATCATATCACCACTAGCCCTTCTTTTCATTAAACTAGACATATCCAATTCCTGCAACTGTTCTTTGCTTGTTTTAGCCTCTAGTCCCCTAACCATCTTGGTTACTGTCTTTCCAGAGTCTCAACAGCTTTTCTCACCATTGAATTTTGTTCTGTTAGATAAGGCCCAGTGTTCAAGTCTGTCAAGATCCCTCTGTATCATGAGCCTATCTTTTGGAGTATTGGCTATTCCTGTCAGTTTGGTGTCATCTGCATATTTGATGAGTGCCCCTTCTATCCCCTCGTTTAAATCATTGATGAAGCTATTGAAGAGCACAGGGACAGAGCCTTAAGGTACCCCATCCATGTAGATGTAGTTCCATTAAGGACAGCACATTGAATGCAGTTGGTCAGCCAGTTACAAATCCAACTGGTAGTGTTGCTGTCTAACCCACGTTTTTCTATTTTGTCAAGTAGTAGGTTGTGGTCTACTTTATCAAATGCTTTACTAAAATCCAAGTATATTTTATCCACAGCATTTTGTCAGTTTGTTGAAGAATGCAATAAGTCTTGTCTCGCATGATCTGTTTTGACAAACCCATGTTGGCTTCTGCTTATGCACTTTGATTGCCTCTAGATGTTTACAGATTCGTTGCTTGATTATCTTTTTCAGAAACTTTCTAGATACTGATGTCAGGCTGATAGGTCTGTAGTTTCCTGGATCCACTTTTTTTCCTTTTTTGAAGATAGGAACTACATCAGCTCTTTTCCCAGTGATGGTTAACCTTTTTGGAACTGAGTGCCAAAACTGGAGCATGCACCGGAGCACCGAAACCTGGAACAGAGCAGCTGGTTGGTGTGCATGTACACAATGGAACCCAGAAGAACAGCTGGCAAAGGTGCACATGCCCACAGAGAGGGCTCTGCGTGCCACCTCTGGCATACGTGCCATAGGTTCACTATCACGGTCTTTTCCAGTCCTCTGGCAATTCCCCAGTACTCTAGGTTCTTTGAAAGATATGGTTCAGTAGTTCTGAGATCTTGTCTGCCAATTCCTTAAAGAACCTTGGTGTAATCCAGCTGGTCCTGGTGATTTGATATTATTGCCATCATTCATTTTAAAGTGACCAAATAGTCAGTTATGCTTTTAGAAGAACAGGCGCTTTGCCCTTCCCTGTTTTATTTCCTTCTTTTCTTCTCCTGATTTGATAGAGCAAGTCAAAATCAAATTCATCTTTTATGTATGAGAAAGATACATTCCTTCAAATTTACATACCAAATTCAGGACCAATCACCTGAGGATCATAGGATTGTAGTGTCTTTGTATATTTTAACTGTTGTATTTTTCTTACCATGATGAATAAAGGAGAACATAAAAGTGTTTATATAAAATAGCAATACTTTTTTCTATTAATGGTTTCCTTCCAATGCTCATAGTCAGATAAAGCTTAGGTTCAAGCAAAGGATTCAGAGAATTAGTCACTGAGGAACCGATAGTCTTTTCTGTCTGTTAGAAATTCAGAGGTTTTGAAGCAAGAGTTTCCATCACCTGAATTCAGCCACTGAGAGGATTCTACTTTGGAAGGGTGTAATATCAAAAGTTTCACATTGTTCAAGACCATTAATGTCTCTAGTGTCTCGGTCTCTTAAATATAAATCAGAAGATTCAGTACAGATTCTGATACAGCCAATGGGAGGGATAAAAGTTTAGATTTGTTTTAAGATAATTAGGAAGTTTTCATGTTGAATGTTGAAAGCTTTTTTACCATTGATATTCATTAGAAATCAATGCATGATTATATCACTTTCTTAAACACAATTGGGTAGAGCCATGGGATCTGGGAAGCAAAATTCCAGATGTCCACCTTGTGGTAGGACAGAGTTCTAATAGTCATTTGGAGATCAACAATTTTTTTCTTGAGCAGCATGAATTATCTTGGCATTTAGTTGCCTAATTGTTAATAACTAATAACTATTTGTTCTTACAGATTTATCCAACAAAATGAAGATTGTGATTGTTCTTGCCTGTCTTTTCGCCCTCGTTGTTCCTTTAGAGGTACACATTATTTCATTGTGATTGCATGATAGAAATAGCTAGGTTTTATTTAATGCTCGAAAAAAATGGCAGTAAGAATTTGATGGTCAGGGGGTCATGTGGTGCTTATGGAATGGGTTGGGCAGACAATCGTTTTCTCACGGTTCTTGTTTGAAGGTTCAGTGAGGGAAGTCAGCATTATTATTCCTGCAAAAGGAGGCTGGGATGGAAGAATCAGGGAGACAGAGGACCGCCTTCTGCCACTGATAGCCTCCCACCGGCCAGTTCGCTCCCACAGAGAGGGCCTCCTCAGGGTGCCGTCGGCTAGACAATGCTGGCTGGCGACCCCCAGGAGGAGAGCCTTCTCTGTGGTGGCACCTACCCTTTGGAACAATCTACCCCCAGAGATACGAGTGATCTCCGACCTCTGGACCTTTCGTCGGGCCCTAAAAACTCATCTCTTTCAGTTAGCCGGTCTCTCTTGATTTTATGATTTTATGGTTGGTTTTAAATTTTGATATGGATTTTAAATTGATAAATTTTAAACTATGGGCCAAATTTAATTATTTTAAATCTATTTTTAATCGTATTTATGTATAAATGTTTTTATTTTGGCTGTTCACCGCCCTGAGTCCGAAAGGAGAAGGGCGGTATAGAAATTCGAATAATAAATAAATAAATAAAGGGAGAGAGAGGGAATGTTGAGTCCATATAGCAAGTTCATCACTTGCAAAGACTTGAATCAGATTCTTCTTCTCATTAGCACGGAGCAGTGTTTCTCAACCTTGGCAACTTTTAAATGTGTGGAATGGCTGGCTGTGGAATTCTGGGAATTGATGAGCACACATCTTATAATTGCTAATGCTGGGAAACAGTGGCATACTTTAGAGGTTTCAAACTAAGTATTTCCTGTTAAAAAATTTCCCAAGGTGGATTTGAGATGATGTTCCTTGGAAGGCAACATCCTCATTTTTCATATGGTCTTCCAGATACTTGGCCCAAAGCAACCAAAATATTTGGTGCTCTTATGATGAGCTGCAATTCTGGATGATTGATTTGGCTCGGGGAATCAGTTCCATAAGTAGCATAGCTGATGAGCTGATTTGGTCAAAAACAGTTATCACAAAAAATTGAATGGTTTAAATTAATTAAATTAATTATAACCACAACATTAAATCTACCCATCCATTTTCACATGATGTTTTCCTCATTCTTCTCCTTCCCTTCCAGGCCAGCAGTGAAAGTGGAAGCCATGAACGACGGAGATACCGATATCCATCTTATCCAGCTCCAAATTATGGCCCTTATCGCTATCCTCTTGGACCAGCCAGTAGAGGTCTCCCAGGGCTACCAGGAGCTCCAGGGGCCAGAGGCCCAGCGGGGCCTGCAGGGCCTGCAGGTGCCCGAGGTCCTGCAGGTGCCCCAGGTGCCCCAGGTCCTCCAGGAGGCCCAGGACCTGAAGGTCCCCCAGGACCAGCAGGTCCTCCAGGTCCTCCAGGAGGCCCAGGACCTGCAGGTCCCCCAGGTCCCCCAGGTCCCCCTGGTCCCCCAGGTCCCCCAGGTCCCCCAGGACCTCCAGGGCCTCCCGGGCCTCCCGGAGGCTAAACCTGTTTTGTTGACTGGTAAGTCCTTCTGAGATATTTCACCTTAAAAGGGAATATGCTGTGGGCTACTTCTACTACCATCCCAAGATTATTTATCCTTTTAGCCTTCAGGGACAAGAAAGCTGTTGCCTGAAGCATTGGGCCAGGATGGAATGGTTCTGGGAGCTTGGTGCGCGTGTTGGGGGGGATACCTTTTTTTATTATTAATTGGTTGCTGTGACCCATTTGGGGTCATTCTGTGAAAAATAGATGGCAATATAAATTCTGCCCTTTACCAAGAGAATTAAAACTTTGGCTGAAATCTCCTTGCCCAAGTACCATCAAACAGCTGTTTATTCTTTACCCAGCTTGGTTCTTCTGTAGCATAGGTGCTTAACCTTTTTCAGGTTACTAAACCTGATTTTTATTTTTCATTTAAGAAACCAGAACTCCAATCAAGGGCTGAAAGTCTAGTGATAGAAAAATGATAGAAAAGTGATAGAAAACTAAAGTTTGGGTGTCCTTTATGCTATAGTTTTACTTTATAACAAGAAGGTCTAAATCCTGGATAATATCCTATATACTGGGTAATATTATATAGCAGGGGTCCCCAACCCATTGCCTGCAGCCCACTACTGGGCCTTGAGCGGTTTGGAACTGGGCCCCGGAAGTGGCGGGCAAGCGTGTGTGCGCATTCTCACTTGTGTGAGTAGTGGATATTTTCTTAAGGCAGCTACTCCACCCATTCCTCTGGTAACAGTGTCTCTAGCAACATTCCCACGTCTTCTGGCAAATGACAAAGGAGCTTCACCTATGGAATGATAGGTTACCTTGCACATGGGCAACCAGGCTCATTTTGAGAAAAAGAGACATTGTGCTAAGTTATGGAGGGCAGTTAGTCACATATCACTTTTATTCCCTGTCATATGTCAGTCAAAGCAAAGGATTTTCAAAAGGCCTGTGGAAATGATGTGCACTGCAGAGTTGAACCACTTCTCATAGTGCACTTTGGGCTTTTGTTTCTTTGGTCCCTTACCCAACAAATCTTGTAGCTGGAAGACAGTTGTGTGAATGAGCTTGGAGGGCCATCAGTTGCATAATGGCAGACCAAAATGACAAGTCAGACTCTGGCACTGGGCCCAACTTGACCTTCCCTTGCTGGTGAATAGAGAAGATGCTATAGAGCCACTGATCACTGTTTCTGTGGCTGGGAGCAGAGTGCGCTATTTCCCTGATCCTTTGTCCCTTGACGTTCTGTATCAAAGAGGAGAAATGGAGAAAAAGAAATTAAGCCTATGCAGGAGTTACCCCAACAACATGTCTTTCTGGTATGGAGAACCCATGGGGAATGAGTTCTTGAGAAAGGCTGCTTAGAGCAAAGAACATAACAATTATTCTGGAGCTGTGAGAACTAACTTACAAAATAGGCGGGCAACACTTACTCTAATCGTAGAGGAGGGAGTTCTGAAATAATACCTGATCATCTTTTCTCCCCCTCCCCCTGTTTTGTAGATCTTGCTGAGATGCTGTTTGCAAGTTATCTAGAAGACACCCATTTGCTTCTGGCACAACTGAACAAATGATCCTGATTTAGATTGACTTTTTCAACTTTGCAGTATTTTCCTTTAAATAAATTTGACAAACATTACATTTCTTCTTCTACATTTTTGTTTAGATTTGTGTAGGTGGGTGGGTGATGGTGTTTATGAGTGAGATGGAAACATTGTCCAAAGCAGGGGTGATATTCACTTACCTTCACTATTGGTTCACAAATGTGAGCGCACGCCTGCAGGACCTTCCACACTGCACAGAGCTTCAAAAACGGAACATGATGATGTCTGGGTAGATGGGCGGAGCTTCCTGCCACAGCTGCTACCAGTTCGCTCGAACTGGATAGAACTGGCTGAATACCACCACTGGTCCAAAGGGCAGGTGTTTATCTCAAACGTGTTTAAACTCAGTAATAGATAATTGACTCACTATCTCTGCATGAAGTTATTATTTATTTATTTATTATTTATTTTATTTTATTAGATTTTTATACCGCCCTTCTCCTACTGGACTCAGGGCGGTGAACAACCAAGAATAAAAACATCACATACAAAATTTAAGATAAATTTTAAAAGAATTAAACAAGTTTTGGTCCAATATAAAATTTAAAACACCCAACTAAAATCAATTAATAATTAAAAATGTCTGGGGGGGGTCAAGCCGGCCCAGCTTGATGAAATAAAAAAGTTTTAAGGGCATGGCGAAAAGAACAGAGATCTGGGATCCTACGTATCTCCGGGGGCAGGTTGTTCCAAAGGACAGGTGCTGCCACAGAGAAGGCCCTCCCCTGGGGGTCGCCAGCTGACATTGCCTGGCCGACGGCACCCTGAGGAGTCCCTCTCTGTGGGAGCGTACTGGCTGGTGGGAGGCTATCGGTGGCAGAAGGCGGTACCGTAAGTACCCAGGCCCTAAGCCATGGAGCGCTTTAAAGGTGGTAACTAACACCTTGAAGTGCACCCAGAAGACCACCGGGAGCCAATGCAGCTGCGCAGGAGAGGTGTCACATGGGAGCGCCCCATCATTCCCATAATCCCCCGCGCGGCCGCATTCTGCAGCAGTTGGAGCCTCCGGATGCTCCTCAAGGGGAGCCCCATGTAGAGAGCATTACAGTAGTCCAGGCGAGAAGTGACGAGTGCCTGAGTGACCATGCATAAGGAGTCCCGATCCAGAAAGGGACGCAACTGGCGAATCAGGCGAACCTGATAAAAAGCCCCCCTGGCCACAGCCATCCTATGCTCTTCTAAAGACAGCCGTGCATCCAGGAGGACACCCAAGTTGTGAACTCTCTCCGTGGGGGCCAGTAACTCGCCCCCAATAGCCAGCGATGGCACCAGCTGGCTATATCGGGACGCCGGAAGCCACAGACACTCGGTCTTGGAAGGGTTGAGTCGGAGCCTATTTCTCCCCATCCAGACCCGCACAGCCTCCAGGCACTGGGACATCACTTCAAGGGCATCATTGGGATGGCCTGGGGTGGAGATGTGCAGCTGAGTATCATCAGCGTACTGATGGAACTCCACCCCAAAACCATGGATGATCTCACCCAGCGGCTTCACATAAATGTTGAACAGGAGGGGTGAGAGGACCAACCCCTGCAGCACCCCACAGACAAGGTGCCTCGGGGTCGACCTCTGCCCTCCTGCCAACACCGACTGCGACCAGTCATAGAGATAGGAGGAGAACCACCGTAAAACGGTGCCCTCCACCCCCAACCCCTCCAACCGGCGCAGCATGATACCATGGTTGATGGTATCATATCAAAAGCCGCTGAGAGATCTAACAGGACTAGGATAGAGGAACAACCCCTATCCCGAGCCCTCCAGAGATCATCCACCAATGCAACCAATGCCATTTCCATGCTGTGCCCCGGCCTGAAGCCGGACTGGAGCGGATCTAGATAGACAGCTTCATCCAGGTACTGCGGAAGCTGTCGTGCCACCACACTCTCAACAACCTTCGCCACAAAGCGAAGGTTGGAGACTGGATGGTAGTTAGCCAAAACAGCTGGATCCAGGGAAGGCTTCTTGAGGAGGGGCCTCACCACCGCCTCTTTCAAGGCGGAAGGCAAGATACCCTCATTCAGAGAAGCGTTAATAATCCCCTGGAGCCAGCCTCACGTAACCTCCCAGGAGGCCAGCACCAACCAGGAGGGACACGGGTCCAATAAGCATGTGGTCACGTTCAGCCGTCCCAGAATCCTGTCCACGTCCTCGGGAGCCACAGGATCGAACTCCTCCCAAATGACATTCTCAAGACCTGCCTCCATCATCCCGCCTGTACCTACCCAGTCAGAGACCAAGCCTTCCCGAATCTGAGTGATTTTATCATGCAGATACTGCACAAAATCCTCAGCCCGACCCTGCAAGGGATCCTCCCGTGCTTCTGGATGGAGAAGGGAGCGGGTCACTCTAAACAGGGCAGCTGGGCGGTTATCTGCAGATGCGATAAGAGTAGAAAAATAGTTACATTTTGCCGCTTTAATCACCACTAGGTAGGTCTTAATATGAGACCTCACCAGTATTCGGTCAGATTCGGAACAGCTGGTCCGCCAACCGCTCTCCAGGCGTCTTTTCCGGCGCCTGGTTCCAAGATTCCAATACTCCTTCTGTGAAGTAGTACTTTCTAACATTACTTTTGAAGTTCCTTTCTTATACCCCCCGTGTTCTTGATTTTTGCTTAATTTTGAAACTGCTGCCTTCTGGAACCTTATTCACACCCTTAATATATTTAAATGTTTCAATCACCCCTACACTTCTGTCCTCCAGACTCTACATATTCAGGTCCTCCAATCTCTCCTGATACATTTTATCCCTCAGATCTTGCATCATTTTTGTTGCCCGTCTCTGGACTTGCTCGATCTTATCAATATCTCTTTTAAGTGAGGTCTTGAGAACTGGGCAAAGTATTCCAAGTGGGATCTGACTAAAGCCCTTTATAGTGGGAGTTGGACCTCCTTTTTTATGCTGGTGAACCCTGTAGTGATGCATCCCAGAATTTTATTTGCCTTCACAGTTGTCTGGCCACACTGTTTATTCACTTTGCAGTCAACTGCTATGAATGCACCAAAATCCTTTTCTTCTATTCTGTCTAACATTGTACCGCCAATAATACTGTACCATGCCAAAGGATTCTTCTTCCCCAAATGCATTGCATTTAGAAAACCCAAAATGCAATATTCACAGTTTTTACCAATTTTCCAGCAATGCCAAATTGTTTAATGTGCTATGAAGATCCCCAGGATCATCAACTCTATTGCACACCTTTTTGTCATCAGCAAAAAGACAAATCTTATCTAGCAATCCTTCTGTTATATCACTTAAAAACACTTTGAACAGAACAAGACCTAGGACTGAGCCTTGTGGTATACCCGTTGTGACTGGTCTCTGATCGGATAGTGCCCCATTAACAATCACACACTGGGCTTTATCTAGCCATTGAACCATACCCTAGCCTCATGATGGCCAACCTATGGCATGCGTGCC